TTTTTATGAAATGATAGAGAATCTTTTCCCGATTGTAATGACACCAAAAAAAACGAAATTTGATGGAAAACTGACAGAATTATGCTCTCGCGAAGTTAGCAACCTCGACGATATTTACAAATTGGCGATTTCGCCCACTTTGAGCCCTATTTTCGGCTAATTCCGTTGGTCCAGTCGACCAAACTCATAGCTATTTCTTTAGAACTCCATTTTTTCTATCGATTGTGTACAAGAAACTGCCCATTTACTGATTTCAACTACCCAACAATGTGGTCAGAAATTTGCAATTTGGCCAATTTCACGAAAATTAAAAAATATGACAATTTCAAAATAAGATCCAGAATGAACAATGCAGACATTCCTGGCTCTAAAATAACATTTTCTTTGCTCATCAGTCATGTCTCCAGGTCCCTCTGATATTACTCTTGCTTTCTATTTTGAATTTTTATTCAAACAAAAAATAGAAGACTTACTATTATGCAGACTACTGCAATACTGTAATAATTGTAGAAATAACATCAACCCATTCATGGCTGCATATTAGAACGGCTAATTAGACATTTATTGGACAATGACATCATTTGTTTACTTTTGAACATTGGCAAAAATCAAACATTTCCCCTACTTTGAGCTCCATTTCCAGGTTCTTTTTATAGTAAAATCAATCAAAATCACCTCTACAGTGGACCCCCGCTTAACGATCACCGCCAAATGCGACCAATTATGTAAGTGTATTTATGTAAGTGCGTTTGTACGTGTATGTTTGGGGGTCTGAAATGGACTAATCTACTTCACAATATTCCTTATGGGAAAAAATTCGGTCAGTACTGGCACCTGAACATACTACTGGAATGAAAAAAGTTCGTTAACCGGGGGTCCACTGTATTACTATAATATATTTTCCATTCCATCAAATGAGACCAAGAAAACGAGAATACAACCATAAATACTATACGAAAATAGACCACAAAGTCGGCATTTTAATAAAAAAAAAAATGGTCGGAGTTTTCTTTCTCATTATGCACTGCGTGCTCCAGGATTTTTTTATATGGTGCACACTGACCACACAGACCCATTCTCTCACATGTGGGCCTACCAGCTTTCTCATGCTTGATTTGAAGCCGCTAGAATTTATGAGTATATATACGTCAAACACGGTACCTCGTAAGACGTATATATACGGCCGCGACAGTCAAAAGGTTAAGTACAAAACTCGAGGTTCCACCGTATATAGAAGGGGGTTAACCCTTTGACTGCTGCAAGCCCCTTTCTGAAACTGCCATTCTATGTCCAAAAACTTTTGGAAAAAAAAAATTATTTTTTCTTATGAAATAATAGAGAATCTTTTCACGATGGTAATTACACCAAAAGTGCGAAATTTGGTCAAAAACTCACGGAATTACCCTCCTGCAAATTTAGCGTTCTTGGCAACATATAAGCATCGGCAATTTTGCCAACTTTGAGCCCTGTTTTTGGCCAATTCCAGTTGACCAAACTCATACCTGGAGTTTACCTGGAGAGAGTTCCGGGGGTCAATGCCCCCGCGGCCAGGTCTGTGACCAGGCCTCCTGGTGGATCAGAGCCTGATCAACCAGGCGGTTACTGCTGGCTGCACGCAAACCAACGTACGAGCCACAGCCCGGCTGGTCAGGAACCGACTTTAGGTGCTTGTCCAGTGCCAGCTTCAAGACTGCCAGGGGTCTGTTGGTAATCCCTCTTATGTATGCTGGGAGGCAGTTGAACAGTCTCGGGCCCCTGACACTTATTGTATGGTCTCTTAACGTGCTAGTGACACCCCTGCTTTTCATTGGGGGGATGTTGCATCGTCTGCCAAGTCTTTTGCTTTCGTAGTGAGTGATTTTCGTGTGCAAGTTCGGTACTAGTCCCTCTAGGATTTTCCAGGTGTATATAATCGTGTATCTCTCCCGTCTGCATTCCAAGGAATACAGGTTTAGGAACCTCAAGCGCTCCCAGTAATTGAGGTGTTTTATCTCCATTATGCGTGCCGTGAAGGTTCTCTGTACATTTTCTAGGTCAGCAATTTCACCTGCCTTGAAAGGTGCTGTTAGTGTGCAGCAATATTCCAGCCTAGATAGAACAAGTAACCTGAAGAGTGTCATTATGGGCTTGGCCTCCCTAGTTTTGAAGGTTCTCATTATCCATCCTGTCATTTTTCTAGCAGATGCGATTGATACAATGTTATGGTCCTTGAAGGTGAGATCCTCCGACATGATCACTCCCAGGTCTTTGACGTTGGTGTTTAGCTCTATTTTGTGGCCAGAATTTGTTTTGTACTCTGATGAAGATTTAATTTCCTCATGTTTACCATGTCTGAGTAATTGAAATTTCTCATCGTTGAACTTCATATTGTTTTCTGCAGCCCACTGAAAGATTTGGTTGATGTCCACCTGGAGCCTTGCAGTGTCTGCAATGGAAGACACTGTCATGCAGATTCGGGTGTCATCTGCAAAGGAAGACACGGTGCTGTGGCTGACATCCTTGTCTATGTCGGATATGAGGATGAGGAACAAGATGGGAGAGAGTACTGTGCCTTGTGGAACAGAGCTTTTCACCGTAGCTGCCTCGGACTTTACTCTGTTGACGACTACTCTCTGTGTTCTGTTAGTGAGGAAATTATAGATCCATCGACCGACTTTTCCTGTTATTCCTTTAGCACGCATTTTGTGCACTATTACGCCATGGTCACACTTGTCGAAGGCTTTTGCAAAGTCTGTATATATTACATCTGCATTCTTTTTGTCTTCTAGTGCATCTAGGACCTTGTCGTAGTGATCCAATAGTTGAGACAGACAGGAGCGACCTGTTCTAAACCCATGTTGCCCTGGGTTGTGTAACTGATGGGTTTCTAGATGGGTGGTGATCTTGCTATTTCTTTAGAACTCCATTTTTTCTATCAATTGAGTACAAGAAACCGCCCATTTACCAATTTGAACTACCCAAAAAAGTGGTCAGAAATTGGCAATTTGGCCAATTTCAGGCAAATTAAAAAAGATGGCAATTTCAAAATAGGGTCCAGAATAAACAATGTAGACATTCTTGGCACTAAAATAACATATCTTCTGTTCATCAGTCATGTCTCCAGGCCCCTCTTATATTACTATTGCTTTCTATTTTGATTTTTTATTCATACAAAAAATACAAAGTTTACTGTTATGCAGACTACTGCATTATTGTAAAAATGTTATAAATAATATCAGTGCACTAGTGAAACAATATTAGACTCCCCAGTTGACGTGTATTGGACGTGTGGTGTGATTTGCTTACTCCTGAACATTCGTAAAAATTGAACTCAAAATTGAGCTCAATTTCAAGGTTGTTTTCATTGTGAAACTAATCAAAATCATCCCTATTTCTGTAATATGTTTTCCATTTTATCACCTGAAACCATGAAAATGAGAATACAATGATAAATACTATACGAAAATACACCTCAGAGTCGGCATTTTAATCCAAAAAAAAAACAAGTTTTTTTTTTCTCATTATGCACTGCATGCTGCAAGACTTTTTTTATGTGGTGCACACTGACCACACAGACCCATTCTCTCACATGTGGGCCTACCAGCTTTCTCCTGCTTGATTTGAAGCCGCTAGAATTATTGGGTATATGTACGTCTGAAACACTGGCTCGTAAGATGTATATATACGACCAAAACAATTAAAGGGTTAAAGGTGGCAAGCAGCTTGAAAGGAAGGGAAGGGGAGGGATGGCTGGATGGGTTTAAAGTAATGTGTAATCATTAGTATCAGTGTGCCAGAAATGCTCAGGCATGCTCGTGGTTTTCTTTGTACTCAACAAAATTTTATAACATGTCAATCTTACATTGTATACCATGCAAAGGCAGAAATATTTGTATTTGTAACTTGCCTTGAAGATATATTACTTTTATTTTTGTTTTTTTGCTTGGCTGATAAGAGATTATAGGGTAAGCTGAAGATTCCCTTGCTGACAAGCTTGGCTGATGGAGATTATAGGGGAAGCTGAAGCTTCCCTTGCTGACAAGCTTGGCTGATGGAGATTATAGGGGAAGCTGAAGCTCCCTTTGACAGCTGGCGATGGATTTAGGGAACGCTGAAGCTTCCCTTGCTGACATAGCTGGCTGATGGAATTATAGGAGCTGAAGCTTCCCTTGCTGACAACTTGCTGATGGACATTCAGGTAGCTGAAGCTTCCCTTGCTGACAAGCTTGGCATGAGATTATACAGTAAGGAGCTTCCGCTGCAGCTTGCACCACACCATCACAGCCACCATGACTGGCACCACACCATCACAGCCACCATGACTGGCACCACACCATCACAGCCACCATGACTGGCACCACACCATCACAGCCACCATGACTGGCACCACACCATCACAACCACCATGACTGGTACCACACCATCACAACCACCATGACTGGCACCACACCATCACAACCACCATGACTGGCACCACATCATCACAGCCACCATGACTGGCACCACACCATCACAACCACCGTGACTGGCACCACACCATCACAACCGCCATGACTGGCGCCACACCATCACAACCACCATGACTGGCACCACACCATCACAACCACCATGACTGGCACCACATCATCACAGCCACCATGACTGGCACCACACCATCACAACCACCGTGACTGGCACCACACCATCACAACCACCGTGACTGGCACCACACCATCACAACCACCATGACTGGCACCACACCATCACAACCACCATGACTGGCACCACACCATCACAGCCACCATGACTGGCACCACACCATCACAACCACCATGACTGGCACCACACCATCACTGCCACCATGACTGGCACCACACCACCAGTAATCATGAAAAAGATCATAAATGGCAGTATTTTAAGACATTTTAAGAGAAGAAAGAAGATCCAGTGGGCCAATAAATATAGTCATTTATTTCCCCGACCTTCTGTACACAATAACTACAGAGTACAGGTAGACACAACATGAGATAAAAGATACTCACTACTTATAGATATACTGAATGTACACAATTTACAAGTGACAGTTTCACCAGCCAGTGGAAGAATCAGTATAGCGCCACACGAGGGGCAGAAGTCCGGCTCAGCAATGAAAAGCTCCCGTAGTTCTTCCACGTCCATTTCTGGAAATAAACAGCATAATTTAAGACTAGAGAACAGTAAGCAATTGTTGTATCACCAGATCTATCAAATTCACTGTAACAGCCATGTATGTTCTGATGAAAAACAACCTTAACCTATTAAACATCACATGTATGCAGAGTATTTGTATGAGAAAGTAATGGTGGTAGTAAATACACACATGTGTAGTATTTGTATTGGGCAAGTAAGGGCGGTAGTAAATACAGTCTGTCCTCGCTTAACGACAGAGTTCTGGCATAGGCTTCTCAGGGTTAGCCCCAAACCCTTCAAAATCTTTCTTAATTTTCATACTAATTCTTACCCTTTTTACCACAGGGTTGGCACTAGAGGCTTTCTTGGGGCCCATGGTGACTTATTTTGCAGAAACAAACACCAAAAACACTGTGATAATATGGAATGTACTGAATGTATGCTTAGATGCGAGCACACTGGCTGGCTTGTAAACACATGGCACGCACGGGGCAGTTCAGGCCACATGTGGACGTGTCCCAGACGAATCGCGTGTGGCGGGTTTTTAACGAGTGGCAAGGCAAAATTTTGCGTTAACGTATACCGATGCCATCGTATACCGGGGGTCCACTGTACTTGTATACCATATCCTCTTCATACCTCTGTCGAACTGCTCGGTGTTATGCCAAATATTATTTATTCTGGAGTATTTAACATGTTTTATGTTATTTATATTGTTTATTATGTCATAGATCAATTGTGATAGGCAAATAAGCTGTAGTGTTAACATTAGCATAATAATAAAGAATATTCTCCTGCTTCATGAGACTGAGTTCATGACAACCGACAGTGGCTTCAAAGCCACCTTATCTTTAATGGATAATGTACTGTGTAGGTGCTTTACATAATGAGAAGCATTTCTTTTATTCATTGGAACCATGGGTAGGGCTAAAAGTAAGCAGGTTAAAACAATAAATGGAGAAAAAGAAATTAGAATGATTTATGCAGCAAGTAGCGCCACCAAACAGTACCAGCAGGTTGGTGTGGCGACCCTGGAAATTTGAAATTATGCTAGCCAAAATTAGTGCCGAATAACTGAAGGAACCAAATAACTGATTGCCGGATTTGTGAGGGCGGACCTGTATTGTAATAACTGTATAAATAATATCACCACATTTGTGAACGTATACTAGACCCACCAGCTGGTGTGTATTAGACGTGTGAGGTCATGTGTTTACTCTTGAACATCGGCAAAAATTTAACATTTCCGCTACTTTGAGCTCAGTTTCAAGCCATTTCCAGTATTAAAACCAATCAAAATCATCTCTATTTCTGTAATATGTCTTCCATTCTATCAAATGAGACCAAGAAATCGCAAAATATAGCTATAAAAAACATACAAAAAAACACTGCAAAGTCGCTGTTTTAATCGAAAAATACCATCTCAGTCTCATTATGCACTAAGTGCTGCAGGATTTGTTTTATGTGGTGCACACATACCACATAGATGTATTCTTTCATATCTAGGCCAAAATTTACCACTCATAGCTTATCAGAGTGAGCTGAGCTCATGACTTAGATCTATGGTTTGGACCCTCAACGTAAAGCTGTAGATCTATGGCACGGACCCTCGAAGGGTTAATAATCTGTAAAGCCTAAAGAGATAAACTATCATTATTATTATTATATTATTATTATTATTATTATTACAGTGGACCCCTGCCCAACGGCGGCATCAAGTAATGACAAATTCATCTAACGGCGCTCTTTGGCATAAAAAAATGGCTCTACCAACCGCGAAAAACTCGTCTAACGATGTTCGTCCAGAATGTGTCCATGCAGCAGGAGCGTGGTCTGAGCAGGCCAAGCCACTCCAAGACTCAGTTTGCCATTGTTTACAAGCTGTTGTGGTCGATTCCACGTGAACCTGCCATATATTTTGGATTATTCCAGTGTTTTTAGTGCTTGTAACTGCTAAATAAGCCACCATGGGCCCCAAGAAAGCTTTTAGTGCCAAGCCTGTGTTAAAAAGGGTGAGAATTATGATGGAAATGAAGAAAGAGATAATTGAAAAATATGAAAGTGGAGTGTGTATGTCCGAGTTGGAAAGGCTATACAACAAACCCCATTCAACCATCAGTACTATCTTGGAGAACAGAAAGGTATTCAAGGAAGCTGTTGTTGCGAAAGGTGCAAGTATGTTTTCAAAATGGAGACCGCAAATACTTGAAGAGGTAGAGAGACTGTTATTGGTATGGATAAACGAAAAACAATTATCAGGAGATGGTGTTTTTCAGTCTATAATTTGTGAAAAGGCAAAGCAGTTTGCATGATGATCTCATTAAGAAAATGCCTCTAAATAGTGATGATATTGATGAATTTAAGGCCAACAAAGGCTGGTTTGAGAGATTTAACTCTTAAACTGTCCAAACATAGATCTACGTTCACGTGCATAGTGCTCCGACCTTGATTTTCCCCATTTGAAAGCATGTAAAAAAACGTAGCTCTACGTTCGGAGCCCACCACACGTGGACGTAGATCTACATTTGAACAATTTAAGGGTTAAAAATCATAGTGTATACACAGTGTGGTAAGGCATGGTGAGGCTGGCAGTTCAGACAAAAAAGTGGCTGAAAAATATGTGAAGGACTTTAAGGAATACAAAGAGACTGAAAACTTAAAACCTGAACAAGTGTTTAATTGTGACGAAACAAGCTTGTTTTGGAAGAAAATGCCAAACAGAACCTACATTACTCAGGAAGAAAAGGCACTCCCAGGACATAAGCCTATGAAAGACAGGCTGACATTAATGTTGTGTAGTAATGCTAGTGGTGATTGCAAAGTGAAGCCTTTATTGGTGTATCACTCTGAAACTCCCAGAGTGTTCAGGAAAAACAATATCATCAAGGGTAATTTGTGTGTGCTGTGGAGATCAAAGAGTAAGGCATGGGTCACTAGGGAACTTTTCTTGGATTGGTTTTATGGTGTGTTTGGCCCCACTGTGACAAAATACCTCCAGGAAAAGAAATTGTCACTCAAGTGCCTCCTGGCAATGAACAATGCTCCTGCTCATCCTCACGACTTGCAAGAGGAAATTGCAGGGGAGTTTGGTTTCATTAAAGTGAAGTTTTTGCCTCCTAATACAACTCCTCTCCTCCATCCCATGGACCAGCAGGTCATTTCAAACTTCAAAAAACTCTACACAAAAGCAGTGTTTCAAAAGCGCTTTGAAGATACCTCAGACACTCAATTGACCCTAAGAGAGTTCTGGAAAGATCCCTTCAATATCCTCAGTTGCATAAACCTTATAGTAAGGCTTGGGAGGGAGTGACTTGCAGGACTTTGAACTCAGCGTGGAGGAAACTGTGGCCACAATGTGTACAAGAGAGGGATTTTGAAGGGTTTGGGGCTAACGCTCAGGAGCCTATGCCAGTAGTGGAAGCTACTGTGTCACTGGGGAAGTCCTTGGGGTTGGAGGTTTGTGGCGAGGATGTGAAGAGTTGGTGCAGAATGACAAGGAAGAGCTAACCACTGCAGACCTGCAAGAGCTTCAGGTGCAACAGCAACAGATCACATCTCAGGAATGTTCATCAGAGCAGGAGGAAGAGAGACGGAGGAAGATGACTTCGTCAAGGATAAGGGAAATTTTTTCAATGTTTACAAAGGAGCAAGCATTTATGGATGAATTTTATCCTGTCACAGAAGTTGCAAGCCATATTGGCAACATGTACAATGACACTCTTGTGTCCCACTTTAGGGAAATCCTAAGGGCACATGAGAAACAGAGCTCTCTGGACAGATTTTTGGTGCGACAGGGGTCCAGTGACTCTCAAGTTGGTCCTAGTGGCATTAAAAATCCAAGAAGGGAGGTAACCCCACCAAAGGACATAGTACCCCCAGTCTTTATGGAAGGGGATTCCCCTTTCAAACAAAACGCCTGCATCATCTGCCCTCCTACCGTCTCATCATTCATCAACAACTCCACAATAAAGGTAAGTGGCATTTACTTATTGTTTATTTTGCATGTCCCATTCGTTTTTGTGTAGGGAAATGTATATTTCATGTAAAAAAAATTATTTTGTTTAATACTTTTGGGTGTCTGTAACAGATTAATTCTACTTCCATTATTTCTCTTGGGTGAAAATTAATTCGACTAACGGCAAATTTGACTGGAAAGGATTACTGCCGTTGGTCGAGGGTCCACCGTATTATTATTATTATGAAGCTCCAAAAAAGTGAGGCTTGAAAGCATGAATTCTTATCTCTTTCAGTGGCCGTTACATAGAACTACATCACTAAGGTCAGGGGTCTTTCACAAAGTTCTTCATCATGAGCTCAGCTCACTCAGATTTTAGATTTTGCCACCGAAGTGGCTAGTTTATTGTGCACCCTATATCCATCCTGTGAATGGTAGTGCAAGAGCAAATGGATACACAAAAAGGCCTAGGAACTAGGCCCCAAAAGGGTTATAGGTGTTCATTTGGATTTATATCTACAGTTCACTTATCTGTTACAAGCAAATTTAGGAAATTTGCTTAGTATGCCTGGTACCTTATTTTCATTAACCCTTTCAGGGTCGGTAGGCCCTCTTCCAAACTTGTTCTCAGGATTGGAAAATATTTGAAAAAAAAAAAAAAAAAAAAAAAAAAAAAAAAAAAAGATTTTTTTCTTACGAAAAGATAGATTTTTTTTTTTTTCTAAATTTTATAGGCTAAAAAAATTTTTTGCCATCAATACTTACCGAGATATGGAGGCGTGAAGTTGACAGAAATTGACCCGCATATAGCAAGATCGCCGACTGCCGGTCACCCTGTAATCATTTATTTTGCTTTTTCTACCTTTTCCTATTATTTTTTAATATTTTTTTTTCTTTTCAAGTAACTTTTATGGCCTGTGAGACCAACAGGAGGACTATTTTGTAAATATTCACTCTTTCTGTGCTACACAATCACTGCACAAACACTGTGCAGTGTTTATGTCTTATTTATCAATGTGTCAGTTCTCTGAACCATTCATCTACAATACTGTTGTCAT